CAGTTGTGATACCTAATTAAAAAAGTAAATAAAGTAAACATATTAGAGGTCAGTTTGTTTTTTAAACTACACACTTATGTCTATATAACAAATATTTATAATTATTAAAAAGTAACAGCCAAGTTTTTGTGTATGTATGAGAGTACACGCGCAATAAAGAATTGATTTTTCTATAGTGCTAATAAACTTTTTGTAAACTCATACGTGATGTGTTCTTTTTTTTGGAAAAATATATTTTCCCGCATAATACACATGAATATATTTGAGCAGTATTTAACCATTTCCAAAGCTTAACAAATAAAAATGCAAACAAACTTAAAATCTTGTTGAAAATAACTAATGATAAACTAATAAAAAATTAGGTTCAGACAATTAAAATATTGTTGGTAAATTAAACTAATCGCCCAGTTCAGAGTAGCAACACATAATCAACTTTTTAATCTAGTTATGCCTAACTACAAGGAGCTAAGTCAACATAGTGTAATAAGCAGAGACCTAGAATAACAATTATTTCATGGTGGAGTATTGAAAATTCATCAAAATTTTCGAAAGAATTATAAAAGTCTTTTGATAATAATTATGTGTGAGAAAATTTTTTTAAGTCATCGATGACTATTATTTTAAGACTTTTATAATAAAAGTCTTCTCTTAACAATTATCAGCGAGATAAATATTTTTAAGTCTTCAAAGACTTTTATTTTGAGAGTTATATTAAAAAAGCCCTGTCATAATAATTATCATTGAGATAAATATATTCAAGTCTTCAAAGAGTCTTATTTTGAGACTTATATTATAAAAGTCTATTGATAATAATTATGAGTGCGAACAATTTTTTTAAGTCTTAAAGGATGGAGCCAGTTCGGAAACAGTTTGGAACTTATTGGGAGGCTAGATGCATTAAACTACCCAAGAGTTTGTCGTAGATACGATTTTAAGGCGAGATTTATTTAATATCATAGTTGAAAAAATTGTTCGCACGGAAGGTGCCACAGACCTATGCCCAGCGTCAACAAGTAACTACGCGGATGGTTCCAAGCTAAAATAAAGAGTAGGAAGCGGGATTCACTCTAGTGAACTCGCACTAAAACTCTGTTTTCTCTGACCGGACCACTATTGTGTGTGTTCCAGGTAGATTTAAACGCCATAATGACTGCCGGTCGGTGGCTCACAGCTTCAGCCCTTACAGAATGACCTATCCCTATATACTCTAACACTAAAGCTCCTATTAAATATCTAAAATCCAAAGGAACAATGGCCATAAAATGCATATTGATTGTCAGCCTGCAGGCGGTTAAATTCTCATTGATGGTTGTACGCAACTCCAAAGCCAACGACTTGGTGAGAAAAGGAACGAAAATATCCGTGGTAAATTAAAGGCGTGGGCATACCTTTAACTTTCTCAAACACAAAATCAATGCTGAACTCTTTGAGCAGGTAAATATCAGTTGGACCAGGAGACCCACCTGTCCATCTACCAGACAAACTTGTACAAAAATTTATGTAAAGCGATTTAAGGGTTCCACTCGCCTGGAACGCTCCTCTCACAGATTAGCAGTTGGGGTAATAAATAGCCTGATACTGCCTGGGGTATTTACCCGGTCGGTTCTGGTAGGATATACTGGATCTCATGGCCTCATACATACACACATACATATACAAATTTTCACACTTACCTTAGATTTTCCCATAAGTAATCTAATAGTAATTTCTTTTTTTGTTTTTTCTCGGCTTCGGAACAAATTCCTATATCTAAGTCCATGATAAGTGCATGAATTTTGCCACCTTCCCAAGATTTCCACAGCCATCTTGGAGTATAAAATAAAATCGCCTGCAATATGAAAGAATGCAATAATTAAGTTTTTTACTGTAGAAAAATATGTATTGGAAAACGATTCGATAAAAGAGAGTGATAAATACATAAATAATTTATTTTAGTAATTATTTACTTAAATAAGAATTATTTTAAATATTTTTAATTGTGAATTTGAGATGGGATAGTCCGCAATGAATGCTAATGCTTTAAAGTTTGTAAATTTATGATGTATATTTGTATTGCACATACGTACGAGTATATTACTGAAAGTAATTGTGTCTTGGCGATATTTCGATATATAAAACCCGTAAACTATAATTAGCCTTTCATCTACTGCAAAAACAAATTTACATTTATAGCACTTCGGACAATGGTTGGTCATAAATCAAATGCAATTATGCAGGACCGCAGACTATATGGTAGGCAATTTGGACTTCAGCTGTAACGTGCACGTATTATTCCCATTCATAAGGGACTTGAGAAGTGACCAAGTGACCGACCGAGAGGCGATCTCGCTTTACGCCGACGAATTCAAGATGGATTGCGGTGTGGGAGTGGAAGTCTACTACGACGAACTCGGTGTTGCCCTGTCTCTACGATTGGGAAATGATCTTCCAAGCCGAAGTTCTAGCGATACTAGAAGCTTTTAAAATGCCCGGCAATAGATTCGGGTACAACAATAGTGCTTCCGCTTTCCAAATCCAAGCTAGTTAGGAAATGTAAAGTGATACTGAGCTCAGTGTCTCAGTCAACTACCGTCTCTCTAGTCTGGGTTTCCGGGCATATGTAGGAACATAGAAGGCAATGAGAAGGCGGACGAACTGGCGAAGGCAGGAACTGGTTTGGATGAATTCCAAACGGTGGCACTGGGTTACCCCCTTGAAATAGTCCAAAGACAGATTACTTCGCATTTCCTTTAACTGGCTAGACGTAGATTCAGATATACATATGTACATCTAACTTAGCGAGAAATCTATGGTCTGGCTACAACAAGACGAAGACCTTAAACCTGCTTATCAGATCAAGGCCAGAGGTACTCTGAATTTTAGCAACCATCACGGCGCCGCCAATAGGCAAAAATAAGTGTACCCCATAATGCATATGATTTTCCGCAACTGTCAACTAGATGATGACGAAGAAAGTGTCCATAAATTCCTTTGTGAATGTTCCAGACTTTCGATTATTAGGCACAAAACATTAGGAAAATACCTGGTTGCACAGCTAACCGACCTATCAGGTGCTACCATACCGATTTCGCTAATCGGTGGATTCATTACAGAATACAAATGGTTCGACCTAGCAACATAGAATAAACATAGACAAAATATCCCCCGCGAGAAGTGCATCAAAATGGCGCAACAACGCGCTAATTGTGTCCTGGAAAGCAACTGGGAAGCACTGTATGCAGCCAACCATACAGATCTATTCAGTAGACAAAGTGTTAAACGACGTCCGGTTTTAATTTTAAAACATCTTGACTTTAACAAAATTAAAAATCTGTGACTATTATTCGCCCAGCAATTAGATATCAATTTTAAAATTCGCTTTCAAAGCCAAACCCAACTCTTGTCGAATGCATAATCTTCTTAGTGTTTTTCGGAAAGTAATTTGTCTGTCAGCTCCAAATACCACGTGATTATTTCTTCTGTGTGGCTTATTAGTATCAACCACAAACCATCATCACTTGCACGTCATTTGCGCATTTAATGTTTTCCACTTATTTTGACAACCTTTACTTGCATGCGTTTTAATTTAAAATTTCACAATTTCTTCGCAATGGAAGTCCTTCAACAAGAAATGCTACTTAAGCGCTCACCATAAGTTAAATAAACATTACGCTAGCAAACAACATTGTTCCACTGTGCTGTGTTTGCTGCCTGCTGACGCATTTGTCCCTAATAAAATTACATTTCAGAATAGCAACAATTGATTGGCTCAATGCTCCAACTATTAACGCACAAAATAAACAAACTAATGCCAAATGTGATTAAATGTCCGAATGTGAAAATTTATGTTGATGTCGGTGACATATTAATAATAACTTGTATCGTAAATTAGCCAACAATAACACCTAGAAAATAATACGTTGTAAATAACATAAGCCCCGTGCCATCAATTTAATTTTTTTGAATTTGAAATGTTGCGAGCGGTGGCAATTTTCCTATTTTGCCGACTGCTTATGGGGGCGCCATTGTTCTGTCTGTCATTGCTGGCAAATAATCCTTTTCGTAGGTGTTTCTTCAATTCACGCGCCTGTTGTTGAAGAAGGCGACAAAAGTGGCATTGCCGTACGCTGCAAGTCATAATCGATTTTGTTTTTTTTTTTTAGTAGAAGCATCTATGTATTTTTTTTATTATTTACTTTACTTCAACCAACACAACGCACATGTCAGGTCTTGATGCCGCCAAATGTGAGCGATCAACGCTATTTTATGATGAATCTTAATATTTCGGGCACACTCGCAGTAAAGTTAATTAAATCCATTGTATTTATTAAAGCAACACACCATATTGCTATAAAATTTTATTATTGAAAAAATGTAGCTGCTTTCTTAGGCTCTGATAAACATTCGTATGAACGACGGAAAAGCAGATGACTTAAGACGCAGGAAAATCATACTCCTACTACAACGGACAAATGCATACAAGCGAATGTACATACATGCATACACTGCCGTAAGAAAGTATTGGCACAGCAAATTTTTCACAATATATGCAATAACTTTTATTCTAATAATTTTTCGCAAATTTTTTTACAAAAAATTTCTAAACTTTGTGCGAAACTCGCGAAAACTCAATAAATTTGCATGCAAAATTTCAGTTTTTTAGTCAGATTTTTTGGAATTTTCTTGAGTATGCAGTTTTGTAGCGCATTAAATTCTAATATATGTAATGCAAGTTTGGAGTAAGTCAAAAACCGTGTTATTTGCGATTTTTTTTTTTGTTGGAACATTTTTTTTGTATGGAAGAAACTGCGTAAAAAAATTGCCAAAAATCAACGCTAAGTCGTAGCTTCTTCAAATTTCCACTTGATTAGAATAAATTTATTGGGCGGCAAATCTGAATACTCAAAAAAATTCTTAAAAATTGGATTAAAAAGTTTTTACATGAAAATTTTTTGAATTTTCGCGAGTTTTGCACAAAGTTTAGAAATTATGTTTTTATGTATTTTTGTTGTAGAATGAACCATATGTTTATAAAAAATTTCGCAGTGCGAATACTTTTTCCCAGCAGTGTATGTATGAGACGAAACGTGTATGCAAGAATTTTTCTGAGCTTATTAATTTTGGCATTGACTGTTCTTGAGTAAAGTCGATGAAATTTCATATTTTTAGATTTATGTGTGCAATCAAAATTTTAATTATTAATGGAAGAGGTGAAAGTTCAGTTAATTTATAACGGCAATGTGCTTTCTACAAGAAAAAGCTTTTAGATCAGTGCTAAAATTCTGGGTTGTGTATGCAAATGTAAAGCTATTTTCTAATAAAATGAAAATATTTTGATCTTAGTTTTTCAAAGGCATAAAGGTAATGCTTGCTTAACTCAGTCGTTACAGAAATTCTAGCTAACTTTTCTCAAATTTATTTTCTAATACCTAATCAATTTCGCAGCACCATGCCATGAAATGAATTTCCTTAGGGGTTTGTAATGTTCCAGATTCTGGACGGAGCGATAACCGCTCTCTGGAGTGGACCATATAATCTCAATTGGGATCTACGTTTTTCAAGAGCGTCAGCCCTTTCATTGCCGTAAAAACTCTCATAAACACCAAAATGGCACCCCTTTACGCGTGATTAGCTGGTTCAATAGAGTTTGGCAGTTGTCAATAAGCTTAGATGTAGTTTTGACTGTGTGCAGGTCTTTTAATTCTGTATGACACCGGGCCCAGCATTTATATCCTCTAGCATGCAGCCAAGAGTATGGCAGAATCTGCAAGTGTTCCTTTCAGAAATTATTTTCTTGTAGGGATTTTTCAAGGATAATTTTGTAGCATTTTGTCTGTGAGTTTGAGCCAGGGTAGACAGAAACTCTTAGTTCGAGCGAGCGGGTGAGAAAACTCCTCCTCAATGAGGTTCTGGGATTTTCTATGCACGGCAAATAAATGTGTGCCGTTGGTTTGTATACGCTGAGACGTGTAACTGTCTGTTGATGCACTCGCTTGTGTAAGTCGACTGTGGTGGACCGAACGCTCGGTGTGCATACCACACAGGCCATTTTTTGCATAAACGCACAGTAGAGGTCTTATACCAACGACATCGATGTTGGTGAGTTAGTAAAAAAAAAACGAACGAGACTTACCAATGAAAGACGACGACTGGAAACCACCTAAGCTTAATTTCATTGCTTCAACCATATTCAAATCGCAATTTGCAAAGTGAGTACCTCTTGTCAGTAATAGTATAAAAAAACACCGAATTTAAAAAAAAAACCATTCGAATTAACAAAAAAAAAAACAACCGAGAATAAGCGAATCAAGAGCAATCCATCTTGAAGCACTAACTAACTTGCAGTGAAAAATTATCAACTGTTAAAAATAATCAACTTATAGTTAGCTTTTTGATGGGATTTTAAATAAATACCACACTTTTAATTAACTATAACAAAACCAACTTAAAGTGAGTTGCAAAGTCGTGCAGAAGTCATACAGGTGTAATTGGAAGTTTGTTTTCCTTAAAAGTTTCTATTTAGAGATCCTCATACAAAAACTACTTTGAATAAATTTGTTTTCTATACTTCACAAATTCTTTTTCGAATTCAGAACGAATGAAATTTCATATTATCATTTTGATGTTATGTCTGACGGAATTCCAATATAGGACCGCCTACTGCAGAATATGTAAGCAAAAATGCAAAGTTGAATATAAATTAATTAAACAAAAATACAATAAAATAAAATTAAATAAGAAATTAAACAAATTTTGCGGCCATCGCCCCACAAAAGTAGTTGGCTTTTTTCGGACAAATTATACAGTTAATAGTTAGCACTAGTATTCGCGTAAACAGACTAAAGTTAG